TCACTGATAGAAAAAACGACGGATAGAATAGCAAGCACTGGGGTGGGGGGATCGAAGAAGAAAGAGTACAAGAAAGGTAATTGTCCAATTGGATAAAAAGTTCTTTTTCATAGTTTTCCCTAACAAATGTTTTTTCTTTTTACCATATTCACTAGCTAGCTTCACTCTTGGCGTATCAACTGATTAGCGCGGGAGCCACTTTTATTAGAAATAATTACATATTTATCATTAAAATCAAGATTGTTTACAACAATGTGACTAGTTACTAGAGTGATTTTGAAATTATAGTAACTTATGTTCAATTTTAATTTTTAGTTATTATGTATGAAATTATAGTGTAATTATGTGTGGCTCATATCAATTTATCGATTTCCACTCAATTATAAATCATAATTTTTACATTTCCAATCACTCTTTCTTAAAACTTGTGGCAAAGTAAACAAGACAACTATTTCGAAACGTAGGAAGTAGTAACAGGGAAAACTAATAGATCATGAAAAAGATATTACGTATTTCAGAGAACTTTTGATCAAGAAAGAAGAAGGGCCTGTTAGTTAGGCAATGAGGAGGGGAGTTTTCATGTGAGATGATTTCAATTTTATTGATTGCCTGTTTTTCTATTTTGCTGCATGCAATCTTTTGCTAGTTTTGGATTATATTGACTCTGATTTAGTTTCTTAGATCACCTAATTGACAACGAAGAAACCGAATTAGTCATGATTAGCGTAAACCGAATTAGATTTTATTCGATTGTGATTTTCTATTTCTGATGATTTCATTATAAACCTTTTATATTACCATAAATACAACAAATTCAAGCATAATATCAACATTATCGGTATAACCTAAACATGAGCCATGTTTAATCCTTCTAAGCGTGTTCTTCTCCTTACATTCACAGAGCTTGCTTAGGATAAAGAAGAAGAATAAAACAACAAACAAAAATGAAACTAACCAAAGTAGCACTCAAACCAAAGCGAAGTAATAAATCTATTCACTAAAATACGTACCCAACCTCTTCGTAAAATCTTCAAAGCAAGTTCGTGTTTTAAATCTAATTCTCATAAGATAAGACATGGAGTATAATTTTTTTGTACTTCGTGTTCCATATCTCTTTAACAAAATACGGAGTATATTGTTTCAATGAGGATATTTTCAATTAATTTCATTTATTTTAAAATTTATTTTTTACTCTATCTGTCACCAGGGATGGAGACAGGGAGGGGCTGGAGGAGGCCTCGGCCCTCTGCAAGAAAAAAATTCTTAAGTTATATTATGTATAAATACGTTTAATCTATAGAAAATATGTTACATACGAGTATTTTAAACTTTGGCCACTGCAATTTAAAATTTTCTAGAGCCAGCCCCCTTAACCATAGTTTTCTGACTCCGCCACTGTCTGTCACAAAGTGAATTGCAAAATAAGTACTCCCTCCGTATCTACTATTTGGCCTGTTTGCTTTTTTACTTAGTTTAAAGAAATTATATGTAAAGTCTGAGGTTTATGGTACTGTAACGATACGGTAGCAATAATAGAAAGATACTTCAACTGTTTTTTGAATAGATTTCTTTTTAAAAAGAAATTGAGAGACACCAAGGTAGTAATATTTATACTCCTATTTGTTTATGTTACATTATCTCAGTGAAACTATTTGGGATGTGATAGATCTGACTTGCTCCTAAATATATCCTAGGCACCAGACCAATGTGACGGTATAATAGGTGGGTGGGGAGGGGAGGCTGGGCCCCCAATCACCTGCTCCATTATTTGTTGTTCATTGAGGATTTTCTGAGATTGAGTTCAGTGGGTCCCATAACTTTTTTTATGTCCAGCTAGGGCAATTTAATTTTGATGATATGGCTATTGATTAGACTTCACACTTCAAATTTGGCCATTACCATGATGTGTGCTTAAGTCTTGATAACAATGACTAGTCAATACGAGATGTCATTTACTTTTTCTTTAAAGATGAAAAAGCACATGTATGAAGAAATAGAGAGTTCAAACACTCGACGCAATCACCATGCTTGGTTTGCTTAAAATATTATGGAGTAAGTGGTGGGCGTAAATGATAGATTGAGAGGGGTTACGAGGGATAAATTTCATATTTTAATCCCGACAAGTGTAGTGAGATTCTACTATGTAAAATTTATAGGATTGTCGTCTCCAAAGTACATACTTTTTCCGTTCTTTTTTAGTTGCAACGGTCAACATTTCACACTTGTCAACACACATCTTTGACCGTAATTATATCTTAATTACTATTAGTAAAAAATATTTAAAATTTAGATTTTGAAAATTTGCAATGAGATGAATTGAACAATATAATTTGAAAAAATAATTTTCATAAAATAATAATATAAATGTAGTCAAAGTAAAATATGTGAATAGTGTAAAATTCAACATGTTGCGATTAAAAAGAGACGGAGGATAGTATATCACATTCACACTAATTTGTGACTAAAGTTTGATTTAGATCTTCTCAATTAATTACCCGGTTGGTGCGGGAGGCCCCTTCGTGATGGGGCATCCTCTTTTTTTCTTTCCCTAAAATATTGAAAACACATTATATTTATTTAATTCGTATTATATTACTCATCTTGTTTTATGCATATTTCAGCCAGGTGGAATCACCCACCCAGGTACCCCCACTCCCGACCCGGCCGAGTGATGGAAGAGTAAATCACGTTATGATCTCAAACAGTTCTGACTTCGGAGTGAGGTGGTTCAGCGCCAGGTGCGCAATATTAAGCAGTCCCACACCGGTTGCGGATACTAATACAAATCAACATATAAAGACTTGAGCTACTCCTCATAACAGGTTGACCTTTTATCTAATAAATGCATCCCTTCCAGAAGTCGAGGTTTGTTGCACGTATTAGCTCTAGAATTACTACGGTTATCCGAGTAGTAGGTACCATCAAACAAACTATAACTGATTTAATGAGCCATTCGCAGTTTCACTGTCTAAATTAGTTCATACTTACACATGCATGGCTCTGATACCATGTTAAGACCCGGGGTTCAATCCTAAAAGGTCAACCTGTTATGAGGAGTAGCCCAAGTCTTTATATGTTGATTTGTATTAGTATCCGCAACCGGTGTGGGACTGCTTAATACGCCCCCGCAAGATGGTGGCTCGTTGGAGCAGACCAATCTTGTAGTCCGTGTGCTCGTTGTTGAGGCTTACCAGGATCTAATTATTCGTTGGAGCTTAATTTGCTCTAATACCATGTTAAGACTCGGGGTTCCATCCTAAAAGGTCAACCTGTTATGAGGAGTAGCCCAAGTCTTTATATGTTGATTTGTATTAGTATCCGCAACCGGTGTGGGACTGCTTAATACGCAAAAGAAGTCTCCACAATGGATGAAAAGCTCACTTTACCGTTGTCGGAAAATAGGTCAGGTATATTATGGCCTGTATAAGCATTCTGCTAGTTATATCTAATGAGAGACCAATATGAGTAAAATAATACTCATATTTTAAGTCCCTCAATTAAGTTCCCCATTTCGTTTTTAGGTAGTCCCTAAATTAAGTTCCTCTTTCCTTATTTGGCAAATCAACTACATCAAAATAGTGCAAAACAGTATCAAACAGTGTCCAAACAGTGTCAAAACAGTAAAGTTTATCCCCCAGTAATTTTTTTCCGTAATAAGTGTGAAAAGCAATGGGGAACTTAATTGGGGGACAGAGGGAGTATATTTTATTGAGTGATAATTACTTAGACATTTGATAATAAGAGCTCCCTTTGTGATGCTGAAATTAGCTATATGGAATGAATTTGTGGAAATATATGGCATTCTGATTGAAATGCTGACTTGGCTAAAAATGCTGAATTATGGGAAAAGTAAATCTAATGTGTATTTCATTAATGAAATAAATATAAAATTACATGAATAATAGCTAAAATGAGTATCTACCATAACTTCAACAAATTCAGTATGTGAAAAAAAATCACGTTTTATGATAAAATTGACTTATGATTAAGAGTAATGACACCGATAAGTCCTTAACAACTAAAACAAGGTCATCTAACGCGTTCATCTCTCATACGGTATATAATTTGCAATAATAGTCTGAAAAATGACATACTCGTATATGTTACTAACAGGGTTTTCCTGGAGAAAAATATGTCTACTTATGTATCTTGGACAAAAATATGATTATGTATAAGTAACTAGACATGAGTCATTACAGTGTAATTCGGAGCGGTAAGTCATTGAATTGGTAGATGATGAGTCACTCAGAACTAATCACTTAGTATATCATTTTTTTGAAAATTTCAATAATAAATGCGATAATAGTCTCTAATACTCCGTAAGTGGGCGGAGTCAAGACACTGGGACAGACTGAACCGATACAAACAATATTTTCAGTAAAACTTTTACACAGTTTTTTAACACTACATATATAGTCAATTTTAAAATTTGGGATGGACCATGACCAAGATTGAGCCATCTGGCTATGCCCCTGTTAGTAATGTTTAGCACTGATGTGCATCGGTTCGAAATGCATTCACTGTGAAAGATGAAAATTAATACACGCAGTGCAGTAAATTATAGACTTCGAACCTAATTAAATGATTGAGATATACTCCGTATATATGAAGGAATATGAGGAGAATATGAAGGTTTTTTAAAATAGGCTAAAGGGTCAAATAGGCCCTTGAACTGAGTTAAAGTGTTTAATTAGCCCCGTATATAGGAGGTTCTGCCCGGCCGTCGCTAATTGTGGCAGTTCCCGGTGGAATTTTTCGATGAGTGTTGGTATTGGCCCACTTAATTATTCATAAGCCCAATCCATTGAATTGTTATACCTGGCCCCTTGTTTTTCCATCCGTTGGTGCGCACCACTTTCTTCCTTTCTGCGATTTCTTTCCTTCCTGGGCATTACACGATTCAAACCTTCTGCTATGGAAGGTAAGTTGCCTTCTTTGCTGATTTGCTATGCCTATTTAATCTGTTCTCTCCTCCTTTGCCGGTTTGGACTGACCGAAACTCTTGTATCCCTATTTCGACCTTCACTGCTCCTTCTGTGGGGTATTTCAATGGAGTTGGCCGGAAATTAAGGTCGTAGGTCGTTGCCCAATTTTCCCCTTGAGACCATAAGAAGAGAGGTAAGTCTAAGAAGAGAGTGTGCTATAATTGTGGTAATTCTAGTCACTTCATTAAGGATTGTCCCCATCCGAAGAAGTCTGAACATGCTAATGTGGTAGATGATAATAACTTGCATGAAGAAGTTTTTATGATTTGCGATTCTGCCAATTCTGTGTTGAGTAGCATGACTGAAAATGAGTGGTTGATTGACTCTGGTTGTACTTATCATATGACACCTTTTAGATCCCTGTTTTCTTCTTATGATTCTTGCAATGATGGTTTTGTGTCTCTTGCTGATAATAAGAAATGCAAAATTCATGGGGTGGGTGATGTATGCTTGATGTTTAATAATGAGACTGTGTTTACTATGAAAAATGTGAGGCATGTTCCTGATTTGCGTCATAACTTGTTTTTTGTTGCTGCTTTTGAGGGTAGTGGGTTAGAGGGTAAATGGGGTAATGGGTGCATGAACGTTTTGAAAAATTCCCTTGTTTTGTTTATGGCAAAAAAGATGAATCACTTGTATATGTGCCATGCTCAGCCTTTCTGTGATTCTGCTCATGTTGTTAGTTCTGATAAATCTGCTTTGTGGCATAATAGATTAGGACACATGAGTAATAGGGGTTTAGAGATTTTGCATAAATCTGGTTGTTTTGGTAAGGATTCTGTGTCCCCCGTCCCCTTCTGTGAATCTTGTGTGTTAGGCAAGCAACATAAGGTTACATTCCCCTCCTCCCCATATCCTAATCCCACTAAGTGTACCTCTGTGTTAGAGTATGTTCATGCTGATTTGTGGGGTCCTGCTAGTGTCTCTACCCACGGGGGTAAAAGATATTTTCTGTCCATCATTGATGATTTTTCTAGGAAGCTGTGGGTCCGTCTCCTTGAGCATAAGTCCGATGTCTGTGAAGTTTAGGGAGTGCAAAAACCTTGTAGAAAATCAAACTTGTAAGAAGGTCAAAACTCTTAGAACTGATAATGGTCTAGAGTTTTGCAATACGGATATGGACCAACTGTGTGTTGATTGTGGGATTAGAAGGCACAAAACTGTGCCCTATACTCCCCAACAAAATGGGATAGCCGAGAGGATGAATAGGACTGTTCCAGATAAGGTTAGGAGTATGCTTGCTACCGCTGGTTTGTCTAAAAAGTGTTGGGGTGAAGCAGTCAATACTGTTGTCTACTTGATTAACCGGTCTCCTTCTGTTCCCTTGGGTAGGAAGTGCCCTGAATCTGTTTTTTCAAACAAACCCCTTGATTTGTCTAATCTTAGAGTGTTTGGGTGTGCAGCGTATGTGCACCAACAAGGTGACAAGTTGGATCCTAGGTCTAAGAAAGGAGTCTTCCTAGGTTATCCCGAGGGTGTGAAGGGGTACAGGGTTTGGGATAGGAACCAGGTAGGTTTCAAAGTTGTGGTAAGTAGAAACGTTGTTTTCAATGAATCCGAGTTTCCTTGTCTGGTTAAGTCAGTTCCTGATTCTGAGTCTGATCCTAGTAGTACACCCGTTGAGGTGGAGTCCATATCACGTGCTGCTAGCCCTTTGTTTGCTAATCATGATAATGTTGTTTTGCATGATTCCGATTATTCTAAATTGCATGATTCTGATTCTTCTGAGCATGATACTACCACCACTTCGTGTGAGGTGGAGCATTCTCATGTGCATTCAAATGACAATGAATCGCATGATGAGAGTGCGGATTCTAGTGAGAATGATTTGCATGATTATCAACATGCTAGATATAGAAGTAAGAGAATAATTAGGAGAACTGTTGATAGTATGCCTGACTATGCTTTCCATATGTGTGATACTTCTATGTTTGCTTTCTCTGTGTTTGAGACCCTTGAGCTTAACGAACCTAGAACCTATAGAGAGACCCTTAAGTCTAATGAGTCCGCTAAATGGCTTTGCGCCATGGAAAGTGAGATGGAGTCACTTAGAGCGAATAAGACTTGGACGTTAGTTCCTAGACCGCCCAATAGTTCCGTTGTTGCCTGTAAGTGGCTATTTAAGGTTAAGGAAGAGCCTAACGATATTAGATACTCCCTTCGTCCCCTTAAGTTTGTCCCGTTTTACCTTTATCGTCCGTCCCACTAAGTTTGTCTCATACCATATTTGGTAACATTTGAGTGGTTAGAATTCATTCTTACTTTATTTACACTTTATCAATTCAATACCAACCACACAATTCCACTTTTTCTTAAAAACCACACCACACCCCTCCGTCCCAAACTTAGGGGGACGGAGGGAGTATAAGGTTAGGTTAGTAGCTAAGGGATTTACTCAAAAGGAAGGTGTTGATTGTGCTGAAATCTTTGCTCCTGTAGTTAAATTTACTACGATTCGTATGATGCTTGCTCTTGTTGCTCATAATGATTGGGAAATGAAGCAAATGGACGTCACCACTGCGTTCTTGCATGGTGATTTAGACAAGAAAATCTATATGTCCCAGCCTGAGGGCTTTGTGGATCCCATGAAGAGTGATCATGTGTGTTTGCTTAGGAAGGCCTTGTACGGCCTGAAGCAGTCCCCGAGGCAGTGGAATATCAAATTTGACCAGTGCATGTCATCTTTGAAATTTCACAAGTCCGAATGCGACCATTGCCTATACTTTAAAAATACTTCTTCTGTGCCTGTATTTTTATTGCTATATGTGGATGACATGTTGATTGTTAGTCCTTCGGGTGACGCCATTAAATGTGTGCAAAAGCGTCTCAGTGAGAACTTTGCTATGAAAGACCTAGGTGATGCCAAAAGGATCCTAGGCATTAACATTGTTAAGGATAGGAGTAAGCGTGTGTCAGTTCTCAATCAGATTTCATACATTGAAAAGATTTTGAGTAAATATAACATGCATTCCGCTACTCCCGTTTCCATCCCGATGGCGTCTCACTTTGTGTTAAGTAAGGATCAGTCTCCTAAGACTGCTCCTGAAATTGCTAAAATGAAATTTGTGCCTTATTCCAATGCTATTGGGTCCGTGATGTATCTCATGGTGAGTACTAGACCCGACATTGCCAATGCTGTTAGTTGCTTGAGTAGGTTTAGATCATTGGAATGCTCTTAAGTGGTTGCTTAGGTACTTGAAATCTTCTGTTAATCATGGGTTGGTTTTCACTAGGTGTTTTGAGGGGGTTAAGTTGAGTGGGTATGTGGATTCGAATTTTGCTAATGATAGAGACAATAGGAAATCCACTACCTCTTATGTGTTTACCCTTTGCGGGTCGTGCATTAGTTGGAAGTCTCAACTTCAACCCATTGTTGCCCTTTCCACCACTGAGTCTGAGTATGTGGCCGCTACCGAAGCGTTTAAGGAAGCCATTTGGCTTAAACGTCTCCTAACGGAGATTGGTAGTCTTAAGCAGGATATTTGTGTGTTTTCTGATAGTCAATCTGCTATTCAATTGTGTAAAATCCTGTTTTTCATGATAGAACTAAGCACATTGATGTTAGATTTCATTTTATACGTGATATTGTTAGTGCAGGTCATATCAAGTTGATTAAAATTCCATCAGAATTTAATCCTGCTAACATGGGGACTAAATGTCTCTCTGTCGAAAAGTTGCTGTCGTGCAAACGCACGTTAAACATTGATTGCGGATAAGTTGCCTGGTGATCTTACCCCGTTTGCCTGAATATGTCTTTGTGATTATTCGGGCAATCCAGCGATGATGAGTCTCAAATTGTTTTAGAGTTCTTTATAACTCCATGCCACTAGGTCCAATAAGGTGGAGAATTTGTTGGTATTGGCCCACTTAATTATTCATAAGCCCAATCCATTGAATTGTTATACCCGACCCCTTGTTTTTCCATCCGTTCACTACAAGAAATCTCACATTTTATGACAAAAATTTGTGTGACAAACAAAAAGTTGTCACATTATATTGAGTAATAGTGACAAAACTCAAGTTCGTCACAATAAAATGATTTGTTATGACAATGTTAGTGTCTGTCATTTTAACTCATATATTTCGTCACTAATTGATTTTTTGCTATGACAATTATATCGAATTCGTCACTTTAATTTTTTGCGCCAAAATTTTACGTCAAAATTTCGGAGGGAATTTTTTTATGACAATTCTGAAACAATTAATGACGATAACTTGTGTCACATAATTTTTAATTGTTATGACAAAATAACATTTTGTCACTAATTTCTTTTTATAAGTAATGACAATATTGTTTTGTCACTTATGCTGCTTTCGATGACGATAAATATAAATGTGTCATAGTTTAGTTTTAAACAAATATTTTCGAACAAAAGTGAGAGCAAAACATATAGAGGGAAACTTAATACAAATGAAAAATGACATTGTAACCTTCCAAAATCCTTCAAGTGCTTAATTTTTAAGTTCCCTCAAATTCGGGGATTTTGAAAGATAAATAATTAAAGGGAAAACTGTCAAATAGGTCCTCAAACTTTCATAAAAAAGTCAATTAAGTCTTTCTATAGGAGACTCTGTCCGGTCGTCGCGATTTGGGGCGGTTCCTGGTGGAATTTTTTGTTGAAATTTTTTTGAGCATCTTATTCATCAAGTCTAGTTTACTCATACCGAATTTCAACTAAAAATGTAATCGAGGGCGCATTCAAATTAATTCGAGAACGCAAACATGCGCAGTTATCTTCAAGAATTAATTTGAATGTGTTCCCGATTGAATTTTTAGCTGAAATTTGGTATGAGTAAACTAGACTTGATGAATAAGATGCTCAAAAAAATTCATCAAAAAATTCCACCGGGAACTGCCGCAAATCGCGACGGCCGGACAGAACCTCCTATAGAAGGACTTAATTGACTTTTTTATAAAAGTTCGAGGACCTATTTGACAGTTTTCCCATAATTAAATAATAACTTTAGCTCGATTTTAAATAAATATAAATCCAATTAGTTGAATTTGTCATATATGTGATGTGATTTTAATTAGAACTCATGCATAACTAATATCTTTTCAAATTTATTACTCTCAAACAAGAATGAGAGTTTCCTTCCCCTTCCTTTACAATAACTACACTTCAAAACTTTCTCATTCCTCTTGGTTTCAAACTCCCAAACATACCCTTATACTCCAAATATTACTCCATATTAATTTATTTTTAACTCCCAAACATACCCTTAGTCCAAATATTACTCCATATTAATTTATTTTTACACTCTTAAACACATTTTCGCTTCTTAAAAAAACATTTTCCGCTTTGGAGAAGGGAGAAGAAAGCAGCCGCATCCCTTTTCTTTACCCTAGAGCCGTGCCGCCAGGTTCGTAGTTGAATGACGATGACTCCTAGGACGGACAAATTTCCTTTGCGGGTCGGTGCCGCCGTACTACTTCATCAGTCGCGAGGCAGAGCTTGATCTCAGGCTGTAGAAACCCAGTTCGGAACCTTAAATCATCAGGCCAGTGCTCACAAATTAGATGCAAGCAGCAATCAAGTCGGCCATGAAACTTCTGGGACTGCAACACAGGTCGGCGGAGGTGCTCCACCAAACCTCCAGGGCAGCGATGGTATTAATTTGACATCGTCGATGCTTCTTGCGCTAGGCCAGAAACTTCTAAGACCGCAGACCTCTTCTTTGGAGAACATGGTGTCGATCTTTCACGAATTCGGCGGTACAGGCAGAAGATAGGTGACCCGGACTGTTGGTACTGCGCTCCTCTAGCAATCAGACTGCAATGTGAACCTGTAAGAAGAAATATTGAATTTGATTCCAAACCTTTTATTCATATTTCAGATGATGAAGTGCGAATACTGTCATATGCCTAAAATTTACACATCTTATGCTAAGATGAAAAAATGATTAATGGTTGGGTTCTATTCGGAAGAATTTATCATATGTCAAATAAGAAATTAATGAATCTTAAGTCATTTTTAAAAGCGAGCAAGTATAGTGTTTGAGAAAAGTCCTCAAAGAATTAATGGAGTTCTTAAGCTTATCAAACCCATAATTTTGAAGTGAATCAAATGCTAGATACCATGTTTTCCTGTTTTTCAGAAATACAAGTCATGTACCCTGTTAGCAAGAGACTAAATGGGACTGAACCAATGGAAACCAGAGGTTGCCCCTGCCCCAAATGAAGCCTAGGCCATCTTTGCCTTCTCCATAGTTTAAAGTCAGGTATTTGTGCAACTACCTCGTTTTGATGATCTTGGACTGTTTTTCCTGAGTATTTAATAGCTGAATGTAGCAGTAATATATTCATTATTATGGAATTTGTTTTTTACAACAACTTGAGTTTGTATGCTTAAACTATGTGTTTATACTATGAGAATTTCTAAAATGGAATTTTAAGAGTGTCTAAATTATAAAGGAAGAAAGTTTTCTAGTGGAACTTCACATATAATATGTATTAAATCATTACTTTTTATTTTTTCATGGGAACCACACGTGCCTTGAAATGTTGGGAAGAGGGTGGAAGTATAAAACTTTTGTTTGAATTTTCTTCTTTCTTTTTCCTACTTCCTATATTTTTTCCTTTCTGTTTATGCTTCTTTCTTTTCCAAGTATTAACATTTCAATTTGTATTGTAGATATGACTGAAATTATTAATATTCTGATGGCCTACTTTAACACAGTTATGAGATAGAATTCAACAGTGGGCTTCTCAGGTTGTGCCTCCATCACTACTTTTAAGCTTATGTTATTAATGCATCTATAACCATATTTTTTCTACCTCTATTAGTATTTTGATTGAATATTTATTATTACACTAGAGGGCCAGCTCTTATTGTATGTATATAGGCTGAACTGCTAAAGTATCTTCATTTCAGGAGTAATATTTATTATGGAGTAATAATTATATTACGGAGTAATATATATACTACGTATGAAGAGGTATGCTGGGTTCTAACTTGCCAGTTTAAATTTCTTACCTTCTCTGGCGGCTTAGAAGCCTATTGTATTATGTTATTATGTAAAGCTATATGCCAACATCAGTCATATTTAGGCATGAAATCGTTAAAGTTAATAGTTGTACATGGAGGATTTTATATGTAGAGTCACTATAATTACCATTTACCAATTACCTGGAAACATAAGGAGTAATGCATAAATGTAGAATTCAGGATAAGGAGCAACTATGCTTGAATCCGTGTTAGGTAATAGGTATGTTGCTTTTGTTGCTAAACTTTTGAACTTTAAGTTGTTGCAGTATTATCTAAACGTTTCACATTTATGTTTGGCTTTATCATACATTTTTTCTGTGTGGCAGTTTAGGTTCAAATACTTAGAAGAAGATGCAAAAGCAGTTTTGGTTCAAATTTTAAGCATTGTATCTTATTCTCATCTTCAAGGACTTTTAGACCCGTTTGGCAGCCATATGCAGTAAAATGACCTTTATGGATTACAAGAGCAGTCCTAAAAAAGTTACAAGTTACTAGAGGAAGAGGGGAAAGTGTGCACAAGTTGATGGATTATCAAGTCGAAGATAATGAAGAAGAGGCGTTAAAGCTGAGAAGTCAATTACCTCATCAAGTTTCAAAGTGAAGAAAACCATAGCATTTATGAGTACTAAATGAAGGGATTTGTAATCTCTACTTTTAGCTTAATCACGTTCTAGTATAATTATAAGTTATTTAGCTAGCCATTTGTTTTAGTCATCTACTATTTTATATATCCGCACAGGAATGTTAAATTTTTAATTAAGTTGTTTAGTTTTCACATAAAGTACAATTTTTTAGCATTGAATTTATTACTTTGTTGGTACTCCGTAAGTCCGTATTACATTTCGGCAATAAAACTCTCTCAAATCAACTTTGTAATTAAAAATGACTCATCACCTTACATTTTTTGAATGGTGACAAATATATGTAATTATATGGTCACCATAAATAGTTTATAAGTGACGGAAGAAGTTGTGATTAAAGCAACTTAATTATGACGATTTTTTTTATCGTCACAAGTAGAAAATCTATTGGAGATTGTCACTATATGCTATGTTTTGTTGACAATTTAAGATTTTGTCATTTATTGTGTTAATTATTGGTGACAAAATACACGTTTAAATGACAAAAATTTCGATATAAACGTGACACATTTGGCGTCATGAAAAGTGATTATAATGATGACGAAGTGGTAAAACGTCATTAAATGTTATTTATTTGGTGACGAATCTTAAAATTGTCACATATATCTAATACCACGGAGCTACGGTGACGATCACTGTGACGATCAAAGTTCGTCACGTAAAAGTTTTAGTGACAAAAAATGAATTTTCTGTGACGAAAAAAATTGTCACATTATGTCAAAATTCTTGTAGTGGTTGGTGCGCACCACTTTCTTCCTTTCTGCGATTTCTTTCCTTCCTGGGCATTGCACGATTCAAACCTTCTGCTATGGAAGGTAAGTTGCCTTCTTTGCTGATTTGCTATGCCTATTTAATCTGTTCTCTCCTCCTTTGCCGGGTTGGACTGGCCGAAACTATTGTATCCCTATTTCGACCTTCGCTGCTCCTTCTGTGGGGTATTTCAATGGAGTTGGCCAGAAATTAAGGTCGTAGGTCGTTGCCCAATTTTCCTTTTGAGACCTCTAGTGGTATATTCATCCTTTTTGGATGAAGATTGAGACCTGAGCTGGAAGAGTAGCCATATAACAATGAGATTTTTTGAGCATCTTCTTCATTAAGTCTAGTTTACTCATACCAAATTTCAGCTAAAAATTCAACCTGGAAGGCAGTCAAATGATTTTCCAAAATGTACTGCACTGTTTAACTTCGCAGTTATCTTCAAAAAATCATTTGACTGCCTTTCCGGTTGAATTGTTAGCTGAAATTTGGTATGAGTAAACTAGACTTAATGAAGAAGATGCTCAAAATATTTCATCAAAAAATTTCATCGGGAACCGCCTCAATTGGTGACGGCTGGGCAGAACCTCCAATATAAGGGACTAATTGAACACTTTAAGTCAGTTCAAGGGTCTATTTGACCCTTTAGCCTCTAAAATATGAAGCGAAAATATGTTTTTTACCATCGTATCACCGTAGAAGGTTTTATAACATGAGATTTGTATATATGAAAAGAAGGATGCCACCCATTTTCGAGGGTACCTAGAACCAACTAAAGAACGGGTACCTAGAATTGGAGAATTATCTTGAAGAATGTAAGGGTGTGTTTGCGTTTGCTTCTACTTTTTAAAAGTGATTTATTTAAGTGATTATTGGAAAAATGATTTGTAGTAAAAGTAGATAGTGTTTGTAAATAGAAGTGATTTTAATTAAAAGGTAAAAGTTGAAATATTTGATAAAAAATGATTTTTTATAGAATATTTTGTTAATGTACAAAACTGCCCTTAGAATGAATAAAATTTGGTGCACCGCATATGCCCTGTACTGTTTTTGGACTTCTTTCCGGGACTCATCTCCTGTCCTCCCAAGACGGCGGCTCCCGTGTCCACTGGGCGTCACCCTAAGGTCGTGGTCCATTCTCTAGCTATAGATGCGTCTCCCCAAGAAAGTAATAATCAATTGAAAAATCCAGACCCACATCGGAAGTTTCCGCTACACAAATACTCATTATCCAGGTAGTAACAAATCTCCCACCTTTGAAACCAACTACCCTGTAAGCATCCGCGTTCTTATCTGCGACTTCACAGACCGGAGCATGAGCCGGAGAATCACCGTTGAAACCAACTACCCAGTTGGCCTATGCTTCTTACTAGCACTTTTAGGAGACTCGGCGCCATCTTCCTCCCACGTATAAGGATTTATATACATATATTTATACTTACACACGCACACGCGCACACACACATACCTAGTATATTTGTATGCATATATGAATCGAAATTTGTTGTATTTGGGTGAGGGGAATGACGGATTGCAGGTGAGGAATGAAGAAGGCAGGAGGGAGTGGCCGGGGTGAGGGGAGGGTACTTTTGGTTTTAATTGAAATATCCATCCTAATAACTCTCCCTAAAGGTTGAATTATTCACAAAAATACCTAGAAGCTATTAAAAGCATGTCTAGACCAGCTTCAGCTTTTACCCTAAAAGTGATTAAATTTAAGCAGAATTTTGTATTCACAAACACTCTTTATAGCTTTTGTGGTAAAAAAAAAGCTGAGAAGTGCTTCTGAAAAGCAAAGGCAAACACTGCCTAAGTCTAATTTTGATCACATTGAGATGGAAAGAGAATTCCAAGTTATTGCTTAAAAAGAATTCAAAGACGAAAACAACCTTTTAAACAAAGGGAAAATGGAAACTAATAATCCAACTTTTTAGCGGTCTTCTTCTAATAGTCCCACCTTTTCGTTATTCATGAATAATCCAACCTTTGCACCTCATCTTCATTCATTGGTCCCCGATCGGTTGATGACCTGTTATTCCAAGTTATTTTCTTATCTTTGCAAAATATTATCTTTGTGAAAGGTGGAATCTATGGTATAATAATTTGCAGAGATAAGAAAATAACTCGGAATAGCAGGTCATCAACCGGTCAGGGACCAATGAATGAAGATGAGGTGCAAAAGTTAGATTATTCATGAATAACGAAAAGGTCGGACTATTACAAGAAGACCGCTAAAAGGTTGGATTATTAATTTCCATTTTCCCTTAAACAAATCAGCATAGAAGGCCTCCAACTTTGGAAATTGGCTAATCTGGAATGAAAAAAATGGCTCGTGTGAATATGATAACTAGAGTATCACTTCAGCAAAAAACTCATATTATCATAAAATCAAAAATTTTTAGTCACGTGTAAGATAAATTTCTCTTGAGATAAAATATGTCAAAATTGGTATTAGACTTGTAAATGAAAGTTGTTCAAATCTGTTTTGAATGATCGATCAGCTAAATAATATGTTTGGTGAATTGCTTCTTGAATGAGCTTGTTTATCCTAAGAAGCCAAAAAAGCATAGGGTTGGAAACTCTAGGTATTGGGGTGTTTGTTCTTGGCTGCTTCATTTTTATAGATTTTTTCCTTTCCGACGACGTATAACAAAATTGATTATTGATTTTTACAATATACCCCTAGTGAATGAATTACGTAATTACGTAATACGTAGTTCAGTCTTGATACTTTCTTATATTATTTATTTATTTATTTATTTATTTATTCATTCATTCATTTATTTATTTCTTTACTTTATACCTATTGACTCCTAAAATAAGTAAATGTGAATAAATAATATTTAATTGCTTACAAAAAATAAATACATAGTTAACAAAAAATTAGAATAATACATAGTTAATATTGCATCTTACCAATAAGAGGAGTTAAAAAGTTCTATTTTATTCAATTTATAATCCTTGCCGGTAAATAGTATTTGTATGCTATTTATAGTAATAACAATAATTCGTGAAATATTTTACGTATATATTAGGGACCTATGTAACACTGATATTTCACTAAGGGTATCATATCGACGTATCCGAAGTGTTCCTGTATCAGATATTCTAGAATACCTGCACCGTACATTTCCAGCTGGTCGTATTTGTAATCTATTAAAAGTTTCCAACTTTTTTTATATTGATCTTGCTTAAATCTTGCTTGGCAAGTACAACGAAGCATGTTGACGGAGATGACTTTGAGAACATCGATGATATACCGGAGTACTTGAGTTCTCCAATCTTTCCATGGATGAACCAAAATTGGAGATTGTCTCTTTGGAAGACGATGTTATCCCTGAAAATTAGTAGCTCTAGTGAAAAATATGTATTAATTTTTTTAATTTTCTTATTAGAGTATTGTTTTCTATCTCCATTATCCAAGAACTTGTTGTACTTACACTTAATTTCAAAGTTGTAATTGTTTGGCTCGTTTCTCATTTTAAACTGATGACTTATTCACTATATTTATATTTGGAAAAAATAATTAAAATACCGTAAACTTTGAAGGGGTGTGAGGTAATCACCCCAAATTTTGAAGGGGTTTGAGGTAATCACCCCAAACTTGCATATGTAATTTATATAAAAAGAAATAATATATTATTTCTTTACAAAATGTTTACAAAATTATAGAATTAACACCACAAATTAAATTTACAAACTTGCATATATTATTTCTTTACAAAATTATAGAATTAACACAACAAATTTACATTTTTAAAAGAAATAATATATGGCCATGGTGCTATATAAAATAACTTTTTATATAAAGTTTGGTGTATTTAAATTACATATGAAAGTTTGAGGTGTTTATCTCACACTCCTTCAAAGTTTGGGGTATTTTATTATTTTTCCCTTTATATTTCAAGATGCACTACAACATTAGTGCATGTGAGCTAATAAATGAATTTATTTTTAACTATCTTGATAATGTGAAATGCTTCAATACCATGAATGGACAGAGGTCAGAGAATACTATGTTTATATGTTCAAAAATAATCATGTAATTTAAATATTTATAATAAAATTACCCCCATAATTTTTAATATTTAAAAAACATTTTTAACATTTATAAATATAATCATCATGTACTCCAGGTCTGATGGCATCACTACGCCACTCATCAGGAAGAGGTCACATGTTCGAATCTGTTTTAGACTGGAGTTCCATCCTAAAAGGTCAACCTGATAGGAGGAGTAGCTCATGTCTGTTCGAATCTGTTTTATAATAAAATTACCCCCATAATTTTTAATATTTAAAAAACATTTTTAACATTTATAAATATAATCATCATGTACTCCAGGTCTGATGGCATCACTATGCCACTCATCAGGAAAAGGTCATATGTTCGAATCTGTTTTAGACTGGGGATATTTAACACCCATCCTCACAATTAGACACTTCGTCTAGATCGTGCCATCATTCATTT